TATAAGCAATGTTTCTAGTGGTGATACAAGGGGACTGCAGTATCGGAGAGAATTACTCCTCTGACTTGGTTAGCCAGAGTGATGGCACAGAAGTTCTCTTTTTGGCTGGTTTGGTGTACCTTGTAAGTGAAGGACTGCCAGTCTTGGGCAGTGCCTGGCCTTTCTCTTAGCAGTTCATCCTGAATTGGATACTCTCAGTATTGTCTCACTAAGGCCTTGGCTACGCTTGCGAGTTACAGCGCTGTAAAGCCGCCCCCAGCGCTGTAACTCACTCCCCGTCCACACTGGCAAGGCATTTGCAGCGCTGTATCTCCGTGGTTGCAGCGCTGCATGTACGCCACCTCCCCGAGAGGAATAGCGAGTATTGCGCCGCCGCTGCGGCATCAGTGTGGCAGCCCAATGCGCTGTGACTGGCCTCCAGAAGTATTCGGCAGTATCCCACTGTTAGGCCCAAGAAAATGGAGTACAGAACAGGTTGTTCGGCCAGCTTAGCCGAAGTTAGACTAACAGTAGTTGCTGGGCCATTCCTGCCTGTCTCTCTGTGAAACCTGAGGACATCCTTGCTTGAGCTGCAGAGACTGAGATAAGAGGGAGGGCTGCATTCTTGTACCAGATGTGCTAGGAACAGTTTGTTTGGACATACTGTGTCTGTTCTTTGTCTGTTCTTAACTTCCCCCCTCTCTCCTAGTTTCTGGTGTATGATAACAAAGCTGATAAGAAGTTGCTGAGGCAGCACAAATTGTTTGTAGTGTTAAAGAAAATAAATATGCATGAATATTAGAAGCTTTCTAACTAATAAAGGGGGATTGGGTTGTTTTAAGTAAATGTCTATGACGCGACAGAACTGTCTATATAACCTCAGTAGTTATTGTAATCGTGGCTGGTTCTCTCTGGAGACGGGCTGCTCTCTCTTGTTGTGTGCACTCCTCAATAAAGAACTTGTTACTGGACCTTGCTGGTGTTGCCTGTCTCTCTGCGGTCAGACAACGAACCTTGCCATCTGGGTTCTGAGTCCCGGACACCACAATGCCTGTTCTAGCCACTCTGGTCATCAGTTCAAACTCTACTGCCCTGGCCTCAGGCAACCAACCATGTGACCTGCCCTTTACATTCCCCGGGAATTTTAAAAATCCCCTTCCTGTTTGCTCAGCCAGGCGTGGCATGGAGTGCTATCAGCGAATCTTTCCAGGTGACCATGCCTCCAAGCGCCAAGCAAGCCCCAGCATGGAGCAATGGTGGATCTCATCACTGTTTGGGGGGAGGAAGCTGTCCAGTCCCGGCTGCGCTGCAGCCGTAGGAATCATGATACCTTCGGGAAGGTATCAAAGGACATAATGGAAAAGGGCCATGACCGGGACGCCCTGCAGTGCAGGATTAAAGTGAAGGCGCTGCGGAGTGCCTACCGCAAAGCCTGCAACGCAAACGGCCGCTTGGTTGCTCCCCCCGTGACCTGCCGATTCTACAAAGAGCTGGATGCGATACTTCGAGTTAACCCCACCTCCACTCCGAGCACCACCTTGGACACTTCAGAGCTGGGGTGGGAGGAGGAGGAGGAAAACGGGAGTCAGGGTGGTGGGCCGCATGGAGACACCCTGGAATCCCTGGAGCCATGCATCCAGGACCTTTTCTCGAGCCAGGAGGAAGGTAGCCAGTCGCAGCGGCCGGTACTTGGTGGAGGACAAACAGAAGAGCAGGTTCCCGGTAAGCGGTTTTTTTTGTTTTTTTTTCAGGAAGGAATTTTTTCGGTGTGGGCTCTTTGGGAGACGAGGGTTAGGCATGCAGGCCTAGATACGGAATAGTGCATTGATGTGGTTTATCACATCGCGGTAATCGGCCTCGGTAATCTCTTCAAATGTCTCATCCAGAACGTGTGCAATGCGCTTGCGCAGGTTTATCGGGAGAGCCACCATGGTCCTTGTCCCAGCCAGGCTAACGTGTCCGCGCCACTGTGCCGTGAGGG